CCACACGTGCACCTTTTGAGTGCCTATTTAAGTAGTCCGCCCAAAAGTTCTACACTATCTGCTGTACCTGCATCCCAACTAGGGGGGTACCCATTTAAGCCATCTGGTTCTAACTACCTCCATCAGCCCTCTAACCTAATGGATTTCCTCACTATTCATACACTATTTATATACATATAAATTTATACACTATTGTACCTTTAAATTTGTATATATATTGTACTTTATTAATTCTAAGTTACTCTTAAAAATAGCTAAAATATATAGTAAGCAAAAACTTAGAAGCATTATATAAATTAACTATAACAATAGTATTTAATATTGATTATATAGTTGCAATAAAACATAAAATCAAGTTATGCACTTTGATAATATAAATAAGTATAATCAGTTGCTTTAGAAACTTTACAAGGCATACTCAACTTCTTGCATTATGTTCTTTTTGAAAACAATTATGACATATGTACCTATCCCTAGAACAAACATTAGCACTTGTAGATTTATCTTTTGAATTCTTTGAAGCACCTTCTTCTATAATCACTTTTAATTGATTAGTTGGTCTTTCTCTTAGTTTTGTCTATAGTGGATTATAAATTATAGATTGACTTTGGCTATTTGTAAAATTAGAGTTTGCTTGCTCTACTTGTTGAATTAAGCCTTGCAAAGTAGCTATAATATATATTAAACAAAATTTTGCTACCAATGATGCTAATTTGCATTTTAAAGCTGCATATTTACTATAAATTTGTCTTGATATGATAGATTCTTCAATTTCAATATTTTGAAACAAATTATCTTGTTTTAAATTTCAAGTATCATATATAGAAGTTAAAGCCAAACTTTCAGTCCTTGTATTATTAGTATTAACAGATACTCCAGAAGAATTATATGTAGTATTAATCTCATACATCTCAAGATTCTTTTTGTACTATTAACTCTTTATTAAAACTATACTAAATTTCATAGTTTTTGTTTGTAATATTATTTGAAAAAAGTAGTGGCAAATCAATTCTTTACTAATTAAAAGTAGGCATATACAAATATATGAGTTGTCTTTAAGCAACACTATATAATTAAGCAATATTATATTTGCTATCATATGTTTGATCTCTCAAATTTTCAAAATATTAATGATACCAATATAGTTAATAAGAGATTTGAGTACAATTTGATGTTAGTCAGTGTAATCTTCAAGACAATTAGATGTATCAAAAATTTTTTTTTTAATTTTGGCAGTTCTGCCAATATTTTATTAGGTTTTATAAATTTTAATATATTAAATACAATATTTTTAGGTGGCTATTCTATCTAATACCTAATTTATAAATATTGACTTACTCGGTTGTTCAGAGAATATCTATGTGTGA